TCAACCACTTAAGCTCATTTCAACAAAATCTGGTACTTGGTTTTTAGCTTTTTGTCACATCAATAGTTGGATTTTCCTAATCAAAGTGGTGTTTAATCTCAACTGTTTTTTTATTTTATTTATTAAACTCAATTTAAATGGAAACGATAAGAGTTTCTCACCTTAAACAACCTTTTTAGTCAAAAATGAATTTTTATTAAATTAAATTGAGGAAAGAGAAAAAGGAAAGTTGAACGAAAAAAAAAGGCATAGAGGCATAGTGTGAGGAAGAGATAAATTAACGCAGCCGCTGATTAGTAGGACTCTAATATATGAAAACATAGAAGTCCGTAAACCACTTGTCCTCGTGCAACTCCACCTCTCCTCCTCCTCCCTCCTACTTCCAAAAAAAACCACGTACCACTCACATATCTCCTCATTAGATAACAACAAAGCAGAGCTAGAGAGAGAGAGAGAGAGAGAGAGAGAGAGAGAGAGAGAGAGAGAGAGCCTGGCCATGGAAGGAGGAGAGGTTGATGGAAAAGGTAAAGGAGATCAAGACAACCAAAAAGTTGCCTTCTATAAGCTCTTCATGTTTGCAAATCGATTGGACATTGTTTTGATGATAGTGGGGTCGATATGTGCCGTAGGCAATGGACTCTCACAGCCTGTCATGGCGCTTGTCTTTGGCAATCTCATCAACACCTTTGGTGCCACAGATCCTGCCGATATCGTCCCCATGGTTTCTAAGGTACATGCATTATTCATATATTATACATTTTTTTGCATCGACCCAAGAACAAGAACAAGAACAATATTTTTTTGTGTATATAAAAGAAAATCAAGATTCTTATTGGTTTTTTCCTTTTTCTTCTTTGGGTTGTTTGCTGATGTTTTTCTTTTTCTAGCATTAATTGTTGTTGTTATGGTTTTGCGTTGAGTCTTAATCACATGAAGCCAAAAAGCATGGCGACCATATACAAAGTCTGAATACATTACCTAATTTCATCTTCATTTCGTTTTGCCAGTTGGTGGTGTTGTTGATGGAAGCCATTGAAAACACCATATATACGTGTCAAACAAAACACAATTCATGAGCTTCCTTTATCATGCAAACACTACATCCCAATTTTGAAATTTGTCCTCCTTGTATCTTTTTTTTTCCAGGTGTCACTAAAGTTTGTGTATTTGGCTATTGGCACTGGCATTGCAGCATTTATACGTAAGTGTGTGAATTATCTTTAATTAATTCAATGTATGCAGTTGTTTGGATTCATTAAATTTTACCATTCTGCGATGAAATATTGCAGAGGTTGCATGTTGGATGGTGACAGGAGAAAGACAAGCAGCTCGAATTCGAGGCTTGTACTTGAAAACAATACTAAGGCAGGACATTGCCTTCTTTGACACTGAAACTAACACTGGAGAGATCATTGGGAGGATGTCAGGGGACACCATTCTCATTCAAGATGCAATGGGGGAAAAGGTGCTACTCCACTTAAAGTCTTGATTTTCATGTCTAAACATCTAGCAGGTTTTCTTAACTATGATTAATTTGTTAATAATTTGTTTATTTATGGCAGGTGGGGAAGTTCATACAACTTCTTTCAACTTTTATTGGTGGCTTTGTGATTGCTTCTGTCAGAGGGTGGCAGCTCACCCTTGTCTTGCTGTCCTGCATCCCTGCAATTGTCCTTGCAGGTGGAGCTATGTCAATGATCGTTTCGAAAATGTCAACCCGCGGACAGTGTGCTTATGCAGAAGCTGGCAATGTAGTAGAACAAACAGTTGGATCCATTAGAACAGTAAGGCCTTGATGTTTGTCTCTTTTAACTCACCAGAGTCAATAATTTAGCTGCATTGTGCATGTCTTGATTAATCTTTGATAAACAAAATTACTATGCAAGGTTGCATCTTTCACCGGGGAGAAGAGAGCAATAGACAAATACAACCAGAAGATAAAAATTGCCTACAATACCATGGTTCAACAAGGGTTAGCCACAGGAATTGGACTTGGAACATTAATGCTTATTATCTTTTGCACTTATGGGCTTGCCATATGGTATGGATCCAAAATGATCATAAAAAATGGATACAATGGAGGCCAAGTCATCAATGTTATATTTGCAATCATGACCGGTGGAATGTAAGTATACCATCTGCCCCGATTCAACGATACAATAGCATGATAATGTACATTGTTTAGAGTATATCTGAGATTTCTCAATCTGACACATTTTGTTCTGGCTTGTTGGCATAGATCTCTGGGTCAGACATCACCATCTTTGAATGCATTTGCATCAGGGAAAGCTGCTGCATATAAAATGCTCGAGACCATCAAACGTACTCCAAAGATCGATCCCTATGATACTAGTGGAATTGTATTGGAAGATATTAAAGGTGAGGTTGAACTCAAAGACGTGGATTTCAGGTACCCTGCCAGGCCAGATGTGCAGATCTTTGCTGGGTTCACATTGCATGTTCCAAGTGGAACAACCACTGCTTTGGTTGGGCAGAGTGGAAGTGGGAAGTCAACAGTAATCGGCCTAGTAGAAAGGTTTTATGATCCAGAAGCTGGTCAAGTACTTATAGATGGTGTGGACTTGAAGAAGTTGCAGCTTAAATCGATACGGGAGAAGATTGGGCTGGTTAGTCAGGAACCTAATCTCTTTACAACAACTATAAGGGAGAACATAGCATATGGGAAGGAGAATGCAACTGAGGAGGAGATCAGAAGAGCAACTGAGCTTGCAAATGCAGCAAGGTTCATTGATAAGCTTCCCCAGGTAACCCCACTTTTTTTTTTATGCAGTCTTTCATGCTCATAATAAAGTTCAGGTCTATCAACCATGTGCTTTGTCTACTTTGACATTTTTCTTGTTTAGAGATTGATGTATGTGATGGAAAATTCTGTATTTTCTTCACAGGGTCTTGACACGATGGTAGGTGAGCATGGAACATCTCTATCCGGTGGGCAAAAACAAAGAATTGCAATTGCAAGAGCCATTTTAAAGAACCCAAGAATACTTCTGCTTGATGAAGCAACAAGCGCCCTGGATGCTGAATCCGAAAAGATTGTTCAAGATGCACTGGTGAACTTGATGTTAAATAGGACAACCATAGTTGTTGCACATCGTTTGACAACTATTAGGAATGCTGATTCCATAGCAGTGGTGCATAGAGGGAAAATTGTGGAAAAAGGTAAGGCCATGCCCGCACTATGATTTTGAATTTACACCAAAACTTGTTCCCCCAGATAACATTGTCATTGATTTGATTATAGGGACTCATGAAGAGTTGACCAAAGATCCAGAAGGGGCTTACAGCCAACTCATTCGCCTGCAAGAAGGAGCTCATGTGGAAAATGATGCACAAACCTCTGATATGGACGAAATCATTACCAGTTTAGATATAGATAGGACTATGCTCAGTTCTGGGAGCCGGAGATCATCAATGGGGAGATCTTTAAGCAGAGGTTCCTCAGGTAGCCGCCGTTCTTTCACTATTGGCTTTGGTATTCCTGGTCCACATAATATCCAAGAGGCTGAAGTAGGAGATGAGGAGAATCATGAAAGAACTAAGGCTGATCTTGAAAAGCGTAAAATAGTTTCCATAAGAAGGCTGGCCACCCTGAACAAACCTGAGGTTCCAGTTTTGCTGCTTGGAGCCATTGCTGCAGCAGGGCATGGAGTACTTTTCCCTGTCTTTGGCTTACTACTTTCTAAAGCCATTAAGATGTTCTACGAACCCCATAATGAGCTACGCATGGACTCCAAAAAGTGGGCAGGAGTGTATGTAGGTATGGGTTGCCTTTCTCTGGTTGTGATTCCGGTGCAGAATTTCTTCTTCGGAGTTGCAGGTGGGAAATTGATAGAGCGGATTCGTTCCTTGACATTCGAGAAGGTTGTGTACCAGCAAATCAGTTGGTTTGACGACCCTGCAAATTCAAGGTGCGTTAAAAAAAACAAGTAATTTTTATGAGCTTTTAACTATTAATATTCAAACTGAAATCTTTTGTGCTTCCAGTGGTGCCATTGGTGCAAGGTTATCTTCTGATGCTTCAACTCTCAAGAGTCTTGTTGGTGATGCCTTAGCCTTGCTTGCACAGAATGTAGCAACAATCTTAGCAGGGTTGATTATAGGTTTCACAGCTAACTGGAAACTGGCGCTTATAGTTTTAGCTGTGTCTCCATTGTTGATTTTGCAAGGAACACTTCAGACCAAATTTCTTAAAGGGTTCAGTGCAGATGCCAAGGTCAGTCTTGCCCCAAGAGTTCCTTATTTTTCCAATTACAATGTGGTGGTGAATGTACATGTAATGTTTTGAATATCTGCAGCTTATGTATGAAGAAGCCAGTCAAGTAGCAAACGACGCAATCAGTAGCATCCGAACTGTTGCATCATTTTGTTCTGAGAAGAAGGTGATGGATGCATACCAGAAGAAGTGTGATGCTCCCATGAAACAAGGAGTACGGTTAGGAGTAGTAAGTGGTGCAGGTTTTGGATTTTCGTTTTTCTCAATGTTCTGCACAAATGCGTTAGTTTTCTACGTTGGAGCTGTTCTTGTGAAACATGGCCAAGCTACATTTGAACAAGTATTCAAGGTCGGATTTTAGCTGTGCTTGTTCCTTTCCTCTTGCTTTCATTGAAAAGTTCTTTTGCTCCAATTCTAACAAATCGTTGCTTGCAGGTTTTTTTTGCTCTAACAATCTCAGCAATGGGGGTTTCACAAGCTACTGGCATGGCTCCTGACTCCAGCAAAGCCAAGGACTCAGCTGCTTCAATATTTCAAATTCTAGACAGCAAGCCTAAGATTGACTCAAGTAGCGATACGGGCATCACACTATCGACCTTAGTTGGAGAAATCGAGCTTCAACATGTCAGCTTTAAGTATCCTACACGTCCAGATGTGCAGATATTTAGAGACATTTGTTTGAAAATGCCCTCCGGAAAGGTAATTACCACCACCACTCTGTTATGGCTCTATCTTGTTTACTTCTTTGAGTTATATGCATGCTTAGCTTCGGATTCCATCTGCAGACAGTTGCTTTGGTTGGGGAGAGTGGCAGTGGGAAGTCAACAGTAATAGGCCTCATAGAGAGATTCTACGATCCTGATTCAGGTCATGTACTATTAGATGGAATGGACATCCAAAAGTTCAAGCTGAACTGGCTGAGGCAGCAGATTGGGTTGGTTGGTCAAGAACCAGTTCTCTTCAACGAATCCATTCGTGACAACATCGCTTATGGCAAGCAAGGAGATGTTACTGAGGAAGAGATCATAGTAGCCACCAAAGCAGCAAACGCACATGACTTCATATCTTCATTACCTCAAGGCTTTGACACCTCAGTAGGCGAACGAGGGGTTCAGTTATCAGGAGGGCAGAAGCAAAGAATCGCCATTGCAAGGGCCATACTCAAGGACCCCAAAATCCTTTTACTTGATGAAGCTACAAGCGCACTGGATGCAGAGTCCGAACGCATAGTACAAGATGCATTGGACAGTGTTATGGTGAACAGAACAACCGTTGTTGTTGCACACCGCCTCACCACGATAAAAGGAGCAGACATAATTGCAGTGGTGAAGAATGGTGTGATTGCAGAAAAGGGAAGCCACGAATTTCTAATGAAGATCACTGATGGTGCTTATGCATCTTTGGTGGCACTTCATTCCCGCTCAAGTACATAACCAGAACTTGAGTAAAATCCTAGCTAGTGTTACAGACTCTGGCACACATTCAATGGATGTGTGATTAGAGAAAGTGTTAGTTTAAGATGTTTTTGTTTTGTTTGGACGGACATGGGTGTAGTACTCGTAGAACTACTTGTTATTTGAAAGGGATGTGATTTCCTCAATCCCTTTTACTTTTTAATACTTTTTAATCAATTTTGTTATTTCTTTTTCTTATCCTACCCTTACCCTACATTAATTTCTTTTTACTTCACTTTTATATTAGTTCTTTTTCTTTACACTTAATTTTCCAACTTGCACTCTATTTTTAATATTTTTCCTTTAATCGAGTAAGAAATTAAGTTTTTTTTTCCTTTTAATATTGAATTTGGGTTTTACGGGAAAGGAAAAAACACAATTTTAATAACAGAATTTTGTGGCACATAAATGGATGCCACTGAACAGTGTAAGCTTAAGTGTTATGTGTAATAGTATATTTGTTTAGATTTCAAATATCCATATTGGTATTCTGACGTTGAACATTTACGAGCCTACCACTTTGAAATCTGCGCAAAAGCTAATGGAAAGACTTGTTGATTGTTTCGCTATAATGATCTTATTCTCTTCCCTTTGTTGTTTTTTTTTTTTTTGGTACTCTTGGCTGTTGATTGCTTGATTGTTTTTATTTTTAATTTAAAATTTATACCTGATGTTTTGTTAAAACTGTTCTCTTTCTCTAGAAAGTATGGGGTAACTTGAATTTTTCTTCATATTATATTAATTGACATACACATTCAAAAGGCACGAAACCAAGAGATTCATGGGAATATTGTTAAGTTGGGTTTTTATTATCCTGCGGAGAAGGGGGAGAGAAGCCCAAGCTTTGACAATGGTCCTACAATTTGCTAGGTGCGTCGTATATCAAAAGACAAGTACATCTACTTTGGCTATGAGCAATGGATTGATATCTTTCCTTGGTATTGATACAGCTGTGTTTTGATATTGATGCAGCTGTGTTTTTTTTTTTTTTGGTACAGTACATTAAGAAAGAACATTTTTTCTTACATTTACGTTTTCTGGCCTAAAATTTTCTTGAGGGAACTAATAAGATTGTCGTTGGTTATTATAATTGAACCTTGGAAAGTAAAATTGTTGCATCTTTCTTTCTGTTGCTCTCTCTTTATTTCATGAAGAGTCGGCAATGTTTGCTTTGGTGATGTTTGAAAAAGTGCAAGTACCAAACAGATTTAAGCAAGTGGACGGAGCTGGAAAAGCTTATGTTCTCCCCTTAAATATGACAATGCCTCCAGGTTAATGAATTGCTTCTGTTCCATGACTGGAGCTGGAATGTAACTGCTCCTGTTCATGACTGGAGCTAGGACTGAAGATGAAAGTTCTTAGTCATTCCAAGTGTATATAAGAATGAATTGAATATTGATTCTCCTACGATTAGGCTTGGGATAACCATTGTATGGAAAGATATCAAATTTGTTTTTGTACCTTTTAATTTGATGAGCATGAAGTTTATATATTTCTTATTTCTACTACGATTAGGCTTGTGGGGTTTAAATAGAAAATCTCTTTTATTTCTTATTTTTTCAGCTTGGGGTGTATTTAAGGGTAGTTTGGGAAGATAATGAGGTTTACTTAGAAATTGTGAAAATTTAAATTAAAAGTTGGGGTGAACTAAGAGAAGTGTAGGGTTTAAATAGAAAATCTCTTCTTTTTTCCATCGATGATCTACGATCATTGCCAACAACCGCCTTCTCAAAATTTTATTGCATATATTTATGTATAAATTATTTGTAGGGTCGAAATCATTCATAATTTTTGACATATTATTAGTTATTGTTCTCTTTTAGCCATGATTTTCTTATGAAGATCGGTGATGGTGCTTATTCATGCATCCTTGGTAGCACTGGCACTTCACACGAATCCTTCAATATGAGAAGGAAGAAGAAAATGGTGACTTGTTGAAGGAGAGGATCATCCTCCTTTCTCAGTCTCTCCTCTCTTCTCACGATAGCCATTTTGTTTTGGCACACATTTGCAATTTTTATTTTGGATGATCTGATGATCATTTTGTAGAAACAACACGAGTCAATTAAATACATATTTATATAGCATTCATGAATCATGATAAAGCATTGTGCCATGAAAATTTGAAAGATACAATATGCACACGCATGTCCTGACTACATCATGCCATCGAGGACAAACAAGAACATGAAAACCCCAGCAATGACCAACAAATCCTCGTCATTTTGTGACGATAACAGAATTGTAAAAATACGAAACTAAGGGCTCAGTAAACTTCTGCACTGAGATCACTGGCTGGAAGCCGCTGGCGCTTCTCCACATAGCCTGATGGAAACCATCCTCCTTTACCTTTGCACTCTCCTTCTGACCATCCTGATGGGCTCACCTGGATAATAAGTTTTTCAGAACAGTGAACAAATAAATATTAGACAAGTCAAATTTAAACAAGAAAAACCTAAGATTTGGCAATGACAGAGAAACCTCAGTGACAGAGGGAGTCCACTCATAATTTAAGAGGCATTGGTTAATCAGCTTAAAATGTGTTGCCTGAAAGAGTACAACAGCATGGTCAGATTCTCGAGGAGGTTACCTTTCGTACAACAACATAGTCACCCACTGACAAGCTTAGTTCCTTCTCTGATGCGGCACTGAAAGAATGTGTTGCCTGAAAGAGTACAAAGATAGAAGTTCAGATGCTTCGAGGTACCAGAAATATGGTGTGTGAGGGAGACAGTTCAAGAAAATAGCAAAAAGAGGCCTTAAATCAGAGAATTAAGGGCCTTAGGAAAAATAAAAGAAAGCCTCCAAGATTAGAAAAAGTAGTAGCATACTTCAGCCAAGAAGTACATTGTTTTCTCTGAGGAGTTCTCTTGTGGAATCACGGGAGGAGCAGACTCTTTCCGTTGTTTCTCTGAAACCATCTGACACAAAATCCAGGCCATGACATAAGTTTATATTTTTTCGATGGGAAAAAAAAATTATTTTAAGACAATCCTAAGTGGAACTAACCTCAGCTTCAACCTCACCAAGAATGGCAGCCACTCTCAGATGGTAAGTCTTTTCTCCTTCAACCTTAACAAAGCTAAGCTTAATATGCGTATAACTGCAGAATTATTATGATCTTCAACACAGAAACTCGTATCCTGAAAATCATGTGCGTTCTTACCAGTGCAACAAGCCTCTGGAAAGTCAGTCTTTGCTGCTGTGCTTCCACAGCAGCCAATGCAGCTGAAGCTTCTATACCCAGAACTGCCATGTTTGCTTTTAATTCTTTCATCTTTGCTTCAGCTGCCTGCAGCTTTGCAACATTTTCAGGATTTGGGAGTTCTCTTACTCGTGCTTGTCTTCTGGAAACTTCTACGGCCTGTTTGTGTCTTATGGTCAATAATGAGTTTATAAGGCAAATCATATCACGCATGGTGAGATAGGAATGCGTTTTACCTGTGTCTCTGCTTCTTGCCTCATTCGACTATAACGTTGAGCAAGATGGCGAGCATCTTCCAAAGGAGCACCAGCTATCATTGCTCTTAACGGATCTAAAATCTAATAACAAAGAGAATGATAAGTTGCACGCTTCATCTTAGTTCATTAATGAAGTGTGCTTATACAAATTTAATTGTATTAAAAGTCCATTTGAAGTTGCAAGCTACTCAGAAGATTCAAATGTAAGTCTATTGTACTCCACTTAGTAACATTTCAAAATATAATTCTGAAACCACACACATGTGTACTTTAAAAATATTCATGAAAGACTTCATGTCCTGCACCACAGCACCAAATGACTACAATGCTTAGTCTTTCTTCACTTCTCCTTTAATTTTGGATGAGAAACTTACATACAAATGCTTAAATGAAACTAACTGCCAGAAATACAGAATACTTTTGTCATTAACAAGAAAGATATATAAAATTGATGTGTGTATGTTTGCAGATGAATCATGTATCCAGCTGTGCGATAAAGAACTAATTTCTTCCAGAATTGTTTTAATAATTACAACATATGATAGAAAATATCCAATAATGTTTTCATTAGCAAAACATAAATAAAATTATACTTAGAAGTCAACCTGAGAAGACAGCAGCTTATTGAAGTCTTCTTGTTCCTTTTCCACATGCTTACGAGCATCACCATATATGGATGCACCCTTAGCTAAAATTTTATCATTTGTGTTTTCAGCACCATATCTGCTACAATCCTCAGACAACTTGGTTCCTGACTACCACAAAAAGATTACAAATAATAACTGCAACTACAAAGGCATTACATGTGTTCTATTTACTATGTGAAGTTAGAAGCTAAATTCCTAGGTTATTCACTTCAATACACATTTCCCATTAGATAATCCAATGTCATTTTAAATGAATAATAAATTTCTACCTGCTTCAATATGCTTATACCCTATGGCTGTGAACGCTTCTGCTGCTCTAAGAACTTCTTTCTGAAAATCCTGGGAATACATATGACGAAAATGATTTTAACAGAGATAAGAAGTTTGGTACCAGACAGATAGAATGAATAGAGCTTTTCAAGTTAATGTATAATGTCAAAATGGCTCTTGATCGTATCTGTACCTTTCCTGCACGAGTGGACCTGTACAGTTTCTCCAGCTGTTGATGTCTCTGCATCTCAACCTCATCTATTACCATAACATCTGAGCTTTCATAACCAGTCCCACTGAACTGCTTTATTACAGCCTGAAATTCAAAAAGAAAATATAAATTCACAATAACGGACACAAATGATAGTAACAAATCGATGGAAGAATATTTCTAACAAGTTCAGTAACATAAAACAGCAAGAACGGAGGCATGGAATGGAGTTCTACAGTATTAGCTGAATTTGAACCAAAATGAACTTAAATATTTTAAGTTAGCAATCCGAAGGTAGTAGTATCTTCTACACTTGTATCTCAACTATCATCAAGCATGCTATAAATTACATAAAGTATGTTCCCAAAATAATCCACCACTACCAATTTCTGCCATAAAAAAAAGTGCAGATAATTACCAAATTCGGGTCGATTTAAAAAAACGAATTCAACCTTCACAAATAAAGCATAAATTCCAATTACATTTTATCTATAGCCTGCAGCAGAGAAAACCCATTTGCTCCATTGATTTGGCTCTATAAAGATTGCAGGCACAATTTCAAATTAAAATGAGCCAAATTTGATTAATTCAATTAACTGCCAATCATTCTTCTCTCTTCTTAGGAAACAAACAGAGCATTCAGAAATCAGCAACAGTCAGTTACATTTCGATCCAATAATGAACTGGGTACCACTGGAAATCACTTCAACTTTAGTAAGCTATTCATTTATTTAGAAAATCACACAAGCATTAAGCCCATGCCGCATTTTCTCTGTAACCAAACAGTGACCTATCCAACTTAAGAAGAAAAAAAAAGTGTTCGAAAAATCGGCCTAGGCGGCCGCCTAGGCGCTAAGGAACGAAGAACAAGAGAATTATACTAAAGCAAATAAATGGGTGTTCGCAAATCACCTGTTGCTGTTTTGCGACCTGCTCTCGGAGCTTACTGGCTTGTTTTCTTAAAGCATCCATTCTTCTTCTTCAGGCTCTGTTTCCTTGAAGAAAAGCAAAGAATTGAGATCAAACTGAAAAAGAAGACAAATTGCTACGAGATTTAACGAGCCTTTGAGTTTGAAGCTTTATGGATCTGAAACTCCGAAACCCAACCAGTGTTTTACATTTTGGTCTCTACTGGGTTGGGTTATGAACTATACAGAGCTGACGAGCTGCTCTGTTTTTTGGGAAATGTTTGTGTGCTAGTGAGGTGTATGATGTTCTTAGGTTAATGACCGTCCGATGGAATTCGATTCAATAAAGTCCACCTAATTGATCGGGCTTTTTTCTAATTTGTGCATGGATTGTGGTGCAATTTTTAATTTTAAATGCATCAATGACTAATTTGAGAACTTAAATACCAATTATTAGATCATATATGAACGACTAAAATGCATCTTTCCCACCTTACGTCTTATTCATGAATCTTTAATGTTAAATATTCAATTTGGGTCTTCATAAATAAAGATAATTATCCCCATTCATTTATAATCTATATTTATATATTCTATGATTAATATTTATCTATATCTATATATAAAAAGGCAAAAGAACAGAATGGTAAAACATTCAAATTGCCAGAAAATGTCATTGATTAATGCAAACATTAAGAATTGAAATTATTAATTAAATGAGGATAATATGATAAATTCACGCTTTTCATATTAAAATAAAGTAAAATTAAAAGAAAATCAGATAATATATCATATTTTTATGGAACACAACTATCCATTGTCTTTTTTAATTCTAAAATAAATTTGAAATTTTTTTAAAAAAGTCTCTCATAGGCACTGAAGCATGTGCAGAGAAGCTAGCATCCAATAAGTCAATAATGTTGAAACATTTTGAGTGTGATGTGTGTGAATCAGCAATTATATATGTCCCCTCACCCACTTTAATTTTGCTATATATTAAAGAACAAAAAGAAGAAGAAAAAAAGGTTCTCCACATAGCTTTTGACAAGGAACTTGTCGGTGTTTGTGGTGTTCTTTGTGAGATAAACATGATAATGGGGGGAGATTTTTCAACAAGTATTTTATGTTAAGGATTGGTTGCATACTTCTAATCTTTATCGTTAGATTGCAAATGTGTTGGTAGTATCTTATATGCAATTTAACTATCTAGATTAGAAGTATGTAACTAATCCTTAACTTAAATGCTTATTGGAGAATGTCCCGATAAGGAAAATTCCTTATTGCAAGGATGTCTAGTTTTTTATTTTTTTTCATTTGCAATGAACTAAATGTTTTTTTTTTCTTCAACTTGTTGGTGTTAAAAACTTAGACCAAGATGATATTTCATTACTCAGAATCCACAAGCCTCATGTGAGATATGAGAATATAATATAGGAATTTAGTCAAAAACGAACAAACTACTCCAATATCCATTTTTTTTTTCAAATTTTGAATTGAGATGACAGATGTATGTATGTTTTTCATATGGCTTTTTTGTTAATCTCAATTATTCTAATTTGTTCTTTCTGTTGAGATGCCTTGTTGTCACTGACAATTGAGATTAGATGACTCCACTAGCAATCATCTTTGAGCAAAAGAAGGTTAAGCTTATTTGTTCACTTACTTTAGATGGCTCCACTAGATGTCTCTATAGGCTGCATTCTTTTGCATTCTCACAAGGTTAAAGCCTATTTGTTCACTTACTTGCCTAATTTGGTGTCGGCTAAGTTGTGAACTTGTTACTTTTTATCCCCTTTTAACAAATGACAACATATCTATAAATTATTTTCACACCAGATCAATAAATTCACAAAAAAACATGATCTAAACAAATATATATATATATATCTTCATATTATTCATGAGAGTCGAATTTGAAACCTTCAACTAAATGAAGACAACTACCAATAGACTAAAGACTAATTTTAACTTATCAAGTATGCACATATTTACTCGTGGATATTGCGCTCTAAAACAGGTTCTAAATACATAATAATACATATAAAATATGCTTAACACACACCATGGAAGGGAGAAACACTTATGTGCAACGGAGATAACATTGTTTTGATATCTTCTACCAATTACACTATGCCCGCATGATAACTTTTCCACTTGCATGATTGGTCGAGATAGCAAGATAGTAGTATCCCCATTTCAAATAAGTTTTTCTCCATAAAGGGAGCCTGCCATAATTAGTAGGAAAAATAATCATCCACACTCAAAGAAGAATGGTCAGAAATAGGAGATGCAGTTTTTTTTTTTTGTTTAGAGGCGGGGAGAAGATCTAGTTTACAGATTAAAATTTAAATCCAAACATAAAAACGCAATCACCATAAATTATTTATTAGCTAATAAGTTCCCTAACTAAGTAATTTAAGCCAACTAGACAAGTTTTGCCCAAAGCATTTTAGTAGCTTTTGCTGGGCACCATATCAAAATTTCCAAATCACATCACATTTGAGCCAACTCTACCTCCAAGTTCCAACCATAAAATAATAATGACAGTCACAGGCTCGCATAGAATCACATGCAGCCCAGATCCATTATTAGTATGTACATCCCTAATCTAACCAAACACCCCCAAGAAAAAGCAAGAAAAATTCATTAGGTCAGTCCAACAATAACACCAAATTAAACACGACACATTGGCAATTGGAATTTGGAACCCAAAATTTTAATACCAAAAAAAAAAACATGTAAAAAATTGCACACCACACACACCCCATTTGTTCTACTTCTAGCCACATTTCCAAGAACTGACCCACCCGACCCCAAAATATTTTGGTCATTTTTCTTCCCACTCTGCACAAACATTCCGAATTTCAAAATTTTTTGAAAAATCCACATCAGGATCCCACCCTTCACAAAATGACACTTGCATTGAAATTAGGCCCTCAGACTCGGACATCTTTCTCCAATTTTTGGTACCCAAAAAAATAAACAAAGAAATTAGCTTTTTTTATTTACCAAAAATAAAGAAAAACAAATAAAATTAGCCCAACCAAACACAAAGAATCTTGATATACAGAACAGAGAGAGACAGGGCCTCGCCTCCTTTGCACAACAATTCATTCGGAAATCCCAATAGAGGAGAAAGTTCTCATCCCCTTCCAAGTCCTTCCATTGTTACCATTTCAAGGTTTTTACTTTTTTGTTTTTGTTTTTGAATTTTGTTTTGTTTTTGAAAAACATATATCCAGTTGCCCTCAAAGTCCCACATAAGACACTTTCAGAGGCAGAAGAGAATCGGGGGGATCTTGAACAAGAGGATCTGTCATCTGCGAGAGACCCCATTCTTGTACATCCCCAACAAGAGGAGAGAGAGCCTATAATCATGCCATCAGGTGCTAAGAAGAGAAAAGCTGCCAAGAAAAAGAAAGAAAAGGAAACCCACAATGGCAAATCCTCAACCGACGACAATCCTCAAGGTGCTTTGTTTATTCATGCATGTCCTTTTTTTATTGCATCAATCCCACACTTACCCATATGGCACTTAATTGCTCATGCACCTTTTTCGGTGTTTCTTCTGGTTATTTTTTCAATTTGGGCTAATTGGTATTTGCTAGTTTCTTTTGTTTTGCTCTGGTTTGGTTCGATTTTTTTGATTGAATTGAGAGGCAATCTTTGGTTTTGGTTAATTTTGCCCATTTGGGTAAATGGGTATTTGCTAAAGTCATTTGTTTAGCTTTGTTTTGGTTGAAACAATTGTGTTTGAGTGTTAATTACGCATCTCTCAATTCATTCTCTATGCGTCTCTAATGTTACTTTCGGTTTTCTCTTTTCTTCGGTTAAAATTGGCTTAATGGGTTTTTGTTGAAGTCCTAGCTTTGCTTGATTTTGATTGAAACTCTTGTGATTGAATCAAACCATGTTAGGTAATAATGAAGTGACCTCCCAAGATGAGAAAGGAAGTGATGGTGGTGATGTTGGCTCCACTGCATTTCAGGAGCATCATAACCAGCAGGATCCATTTAAGAAGAGCAATGAGGAGCTGGGCGAGCGAGGCCCATCATCAGTTCCACCTGTTGTTTCTGAGGACAAGTCCGGGAAGGGAGCTCCTAGTGGTGTGGAGGCTGTTCAGAAGGTTGGATTGAAGAATGATGATGGTGTTAGAATTGAGAGGGAATTGAAACAGGATTCCGCAAGCAAAAATGTGATTATTGAGCATGCGAAATCTGCAAAGGGATCACATAATGGGGATGATAGAAGCTCAAGCAGTAGTAGTTCAGATGACGAGTCTCAAGTTGTTGAGAGGAGGCAGAAGGAGGATTCCTATGCTTCAGTTTCAGAGGAGAAACCTCATAATGATTTGGTAAGGTCAATTGATTCTTCACCACCAGAAGTGATTCAGACTACCGAAGGTGCACCATCTGTGAAGAATACAAGTTCAGTTACAGAGAGTACACCGGTTGAAAGTTCAGTTTTCTCCAATGTTGTAGTAAAAACGGGGTTGGAGAATGGTGCAGAGAAATTGTTGCCTACTGGAACTCCTGTAACTTTGACGGATCCTGTATCAAAGAAAATTGAGAATAGAACATCTCCGTTACTGAATGAGACTGCTAAGGGGTCTTCAAGTATGGTGGAATCTGTTTCTAGAGAAAATGAAAGTAAAGTATTGCCGTCATTAGGTACTTCTCGGGCTCAAGTTAGTAATGATGCTGAATCCAGCAAAAATCCTGAGATTCCAGAATATTCTGAAAAGCAGGTATTGCCTGCATATTCATTTCTTCATTGAAAGTTTGATGTAAGATCTCTTTTTGCCTTGATAATTGAATGCAATTTCTTCGATGGAATTTATGCAGCCTCTGGTAGCTCCGGCCCCACCAGTTCCCCGAAAAACATCTTGGTTTAGCTGCTGTGGAATTCTGGAAGTGATAACAGGCTCCAGTAGATAAGTTCAGGTTGGGATTTTTCTACCTTTTATTTATGGATAAATTTTTTTTTTGTTCTCAAGTTTTGCTTTATTACTTACTGCCCAAAATGTAATTTTTGTCCATGTGTATATAGAGCAGACTGGGTCACTAGAGAAGTGAGAGTCTTTAGGATGTTACAGGGATGTCATAATAGTTTTGTGTTATAACTGTTAACTGTGTTTCTAAAATTTTGAATTCTTGATCTTTTCCAACTAAGGTCTTGTAGGTGTCTGATTTATGCTTGTGTAGATTGCAGTTTTAGTGAAAAATAGTAGCTAAGGAATGAAACTGTTAAGATTCTTTGTCCTGAAATTCCTCAGTTACTATTTTCTCATGAAAGGTTTTTATTTGGTTATTATGTTGCCTATGAAATGTAAATAGGGGATGGAGGATTGTGTTTGATGTGTTGTATAATGTGTTTATTTTACTGAATTTATAAGGAACTTTACTTACAAATCTAGTGGAATTGTCACACTACAGGTGTTGAGTAGCAAAGCAGAGAGAAGAAGAGTAAGGATATAACAGTACTTTGGGTCAGAATTTTGGTTTTTTGGTTTTTGGTTTAAAAGAGGAGAAATTGTTGAGGCTTCTTCATAAGAGGGACTTATTCAGTACTTAAGGTTTTAACCTGGCCTCACAGAGAAGGAATTGGTATTGGATAGACAAAGGAATTGGTATTGGATAGGCATAGGAAATACAAGAGTTCTAGGAGTCATCTTGACATCCACATTCCCTTATTCCTAAATTAAAGGACCTATCTTGTGTTAAGGTTCTGTTAAAGTTTGTTTAATTTATCTCCCTTGATTTTAGATTGTTCATGGATTGTAAATACTTGGTAGAGATCGTACTAGAAATTAAAAGAACAGGGTATCATATTTTGCTCTTTGAGGAGCCCATTTTTTCTGCTTTATCTTTAAGGACCTATACTTATCTTTAGATGCAATCTTACGGCACTCAGCCAGAATTGAGATATGCGCTTTACCTTCCTACTTAACAATTTTATATGGACTTGACTGATGCCACAGTTTAAGCTTTTAGTACCTTTCAAACTGAATGTTGGTTGATTTTTGTAGGTTTTGTCTGATGCAGAACGAAGCACAAAGGGTTTCAGTGGACTCTTTAAGCTTGTGAAAGAGAAGACTCTTCAGAGAGTTTTATGATATTTTGATATTAGAACTTTATAAATTTTCCCTAAAGAATAATGGGCTAGAGGCCTGATTAGATTTGTGGTGATAGTGTCGGGAATCGTAGGCAGCTGTATATCTCCTGCTTTTACAACCTTTCTTTCTTGTTAATTTTGCAGAATAGTTTTCTATGTCAATTTTAGTTCCTTTTTTGCATTGGTAGGCCAATGGTGTGACATAAATTTGCAAAAACATTTTCACTTGATGTTGTGATGGATCTGGCTTTTTCTTATACATAATAAGAAAATTTCTGCCCCTTTATATATAACCTCATGGTGGAACTGCTTGATGTATGAATTTTCTCTTCAACAAATTTGTGTTGCTTATTTGGCATGTTGAGCTCTTGTAGTCATTAGGTTTTCGTCGACGATTAGACACTTATGTGCATCCATTGCTGGTTTAGTTACCTTATCGATTGGAGTTGAAAAATGTTCTCTTTACCCCTTAGATTGATTCGGTGCACATAGCATGCATTTGCTTCATAGAAAAAACTGCTAAACGATCATGTAAATTTTATTTTTAGTACTATTTATTATTGCTATATAATTCGAATACAAATCAATCAAATCATAGCACACTATTGACACCGAAACCATGGGCAGGTTTATACAAAGGAAAAAAAGGGTAGGATGAGGGTGAAAAGAAAAGAAAATTAAACAAAACAATACACGCACAGAGACAGCACACAAACACAAAAGTCATTCAACTTTTCCAACTTCATCTCCTTGATACAACACTATGAATGGCTGCTATATACAGAAGCTGCGTAGCTGAAAGGATGATCAAGAATGCCTCCAGTGTTCTCTGCACGAAACAGAGCAAGTATGTTTCAATATAAAATCTCTGGAAGATTAAGGTTTGAACAGAAAAGAATTTCTTTTTATCTTACCAGACGGGCATTTCTGATACGAAGCTCAATCTCCTTGCAAGCAAAGCTGCACGAATTAGGTACCCGGTTAGCTTAATATAAAGAGAAAATAGTTTGAAGAATTTGTATACATATGCTGTTTTAGGATGGCAATGAGTAAGTACCCCATGGCAAGGAGGGTGAGGGTCCAGGCAACGGTAGCAGCTGCGGCTGCAGATGGCAAGCTATCAGCTGTCCAAGATCGAATATGGTTGATTCCGGAAATGGCTGAAGCAGCACCAACAACTCCGGCAATCAAAGCGAATGTTACAAAGAACCCGGTTGCAGCATTTCCCATTGGGAAGTATATGGGTGAGAAATGTGCTGGGAGATCAAAACCAGGACCTGCAAAGCCTCACTCAGATTTAGCAAATGGAGAGTGCATGTGATGTAAAGTCTAAACTAGAGAGAGAGAGAGAGAGAGAGGTTTACCAATAATGAAACCATGGTCAATAGCTCTGTTCATGGCCCAGCCTCCAATGCCCAACACAATGACATACATGCAGAAATTGAGAAGCAAAAGCAGGCCAGCAACAGACTTTAACTGCTGGTTGGCCATTTCTGTAAGATCAAAAGCTGCTGGATGAACCCAAAAGTGCAATGGAAAAGAAAAGGGTGGTTGTACGTGTTACATGTGTTAAGCACAAGAAATGGTCTTAGCTTATATATAAGCAATTGGCCATGGCATGCAGGTTTTGGTTCTTTTCTTGCCAAGGCTGCTGGTTCCAAAGGGCTTTGTGGGGTTGTAAAGGAGATGGATGCTTCATAGACAAGGCAAACCAAGCAAGAAATGCCAAGATTCTTACTTGCCTCACATTTTTAAGTCTTCTTTTTGGTGGTACATTCTTCTTCTAAGCTTTGTGCCATAAAATTGTTCCTAAGATATCAAAAAAGTTATATTCTTTGCCAGATGGGCACACATGAAACGCTGCGTTTCAGCCTTGATGTTCTAAAACCACCCACCGCCAGTCTCTCTTCGGTTAATTTTGTTTTTCCTATATTCGGTTACGGATTAACGGTCATGCTGAGAGTTCCCGCCATTTTTCAAAACATTGGAATCTCACACTTCCCAACTTCACTCTCTGATTTCCACAAAAATCTTACAAGCTTCTCCAAATGCTTGGTGGGTTTGATGAATTACACCAAATTGACCACCCCATCTTACAAGTCACTGCTCTCTGATCACTTAAGGAACCAAAAACTCAACGAAGCTCGTCTAGTTTTCAATGAAATCCCTTTTCCGAGTGTTAGTTTGTACACCATGATGATTACGGGCTATTCGAGACAACATAGGCTTGATGATGCTCTGAAACTGTTCTACGAAATGCCTGTGAAAGATACAGTGTGTTGGAATTCAATGATGAAAGGGTGTTTGGATTGTGGGGATT